TTAAAAGACTCTGTATTTTATTAGCGTCTTCACCAAACTGGACTATGTCATCTGCGTATTCTAAGTCACTAAGTGGACCTCCTGGAAGGAGGTCAATACCCGAGAACTTAGTCGACGTGAATGTTATTTTCATCAATAGGTCTATGATGAAGTTAAACAAAAATGGAGAAAGTGGACAGGCTTGATGGACACCACTTGAAGTTTCAAAAGTAGATGACAGTTCGCCATAAGCTCTGACCCGACTGGTAGTGTTCGAGTAAAGAGCCTTCACAAGGTTCATGTACCTCTGAAGCACGCCTCTCAATGATAGACACTGCCACAGGATCTCGCGGTCTACGGGGTCAAATGCTGTTCTCAAGTTAAGAAAGACCACCATTGTCGGACGCCGATAAGTATGCCTATGTTCTAGAACCTGACGAATGGTGACTATGTGGTCAAGGCAGCCACAAACAGGTCTGAAGCCAGGTTGATTCTCTCGTGTTTGCAGTTCACGAGTCTTAGGCGTCTGATAATTATCGAGGCTAGTATTTTAGATACTATATTTGTTAAATTAATTCCTCTAAGGTTGTCACAGAATGATTTTAACCCTCTCTTATATATTGGGACGATAAGTGATTGTGACCAGTCAGATGGAATAACGTGTAACTCCCACATCTTAGCTAAAATATTAGTCAACCTAATCGCTAAAATTGGACCACCATCCTTAAAGACCTCTGGAGCCAATCCATCTGGACCAGCTGCCCTTCCTCGTTTCAGATTAACTATAGCCTTTTGAACTTCTGCTAGAGTTGGGGGACCTACTTCAATGTTCCATTCACACTGTCTGGGAATGATGGGTAGTTGTAGAGTAGCTGAAGGCCAGCTGAATTGTTCTCTGAAATGTTCCGCCCATCGTTCTAAACGTCTGGACTAAGAGCAGATGAGGGTGTCGTTTTTTTCTGAAATAATCTGACTTACACTTGACTTATTAATTCCAGTTTCTTTTATTAGTCTGTAAAGCTGTCTTGCGTTCCCTATAGCCGCCGCCTTTTCCATCTCTTTTGCTTTCGTTGCCCACCACTGCTCACGGTCGTTCCTTAGACTTGCTTAACTTCGATCTGATTTGTTGTCGCTCTTCATCATGTTCAGAGCCTGATGGGATGTTTACGAGAATCCATCAGTGCAATAAACCTTGAAGAAATCCATTGGTTCTTTGTAACCCTGTGGTTTAAATCACTGATAGATATCACTGCTGTTTCCACATCTGTTTTATAACCTGCCAAGCAACATCTGCGTCAACCTCGTTTTCAGAACTACTTAATTGTGACCTCAGTTGTTCCTGGAACCTACTTTTGGTTTTCTCGCTACTAAATTCAGTTCTAATTGGTCTTTTTACTGTGGCTTTTTTGCGTCCAGTGAGGCGCAAGCAGATGCGTGCCCGTATTAGGGCGTGGTCGGAGTCCAAGCAGGTACTCCAGAATGAGCGACAATCTTCTACCGACCCTCTCCAACGATGACTGATGGCAATATGGTCTATTTGAGTCCATCGTTGGTTTGATGTAGGGGGTCGCCATGTTAGACGATGTCTCTCCTTATGCTTAAAATTTGTGTTTGCTAAAAATAAACGATTGTCTGAGCACAGTTGCAGCAGACGATCACCATTATCTGTTCGCTGTGCCGGAATACCGAAATACCCACCTAAATGCCTTTCTGTTTGGTTTAAACTACCTATCTGGGCATTAAAGTCACCTGCTACGAGTACTATGTCTGAACGTTTAGCTTTCTGAAGAAGTTCAGATAGCTTTCTGTAAAATTCATCTTTCACTTCATCTGAGCTGCAGTCGGTGGGAGCGTAGGCAGAAACGACAAAAAGGCAACGACGTGTGTCCCTATCCTTCCGATTTCTTACGGAGCCGTTTAGCCGAACAGCACATAAACGACTGTTAACGGGGATCCACTCTAACAGCGCTTGTTCCGCCCTCATGCTTAGTGCTATGCCTACTCCTGCCAGTCCACGAGAGCTGGCCGTCGGGTCACCAGATACACGGATGGTGTATCTCGTCGGGTCTCCGTTTTGCCAAGGTGAGGTCAAGTGAATGACCACACCGGGATCCTGTATGCGTGTTTCAGAGACACAGCATACATCAATGGTACGAGATTCTAGGGTTCTAGCCAAGGAAGCCTGTTGACCGATTTGACATAAGGTGCGTACATTGAAGGCTACAATGAGTAGTTTGGAGCGAGGTTTCAGTAGACCTGGGACAGTGTTTTGAGCACTAGAATCGTTGGCTATGGTGACGCTTGAGGAGGAAGCCGACAAAGGAAGTTTAGCGTTGAAAGTCGATGTAGGAGGAATAATAGGGATTGAAGAGGGATGTTGAGTATGAATACAGTGGTCTTGAGTGCTGTTAAAGGTATGAGGGCGGTTATCACTTCCCGGTTGCCCACACCGTGGAAGGGTTGCTCTGGAGGTACCTGAAAAGGAAATGGGATTAGAAGTGGTCTTAGTGACCTGAGAGCGTGACCGCAGTGCCCAAGGGACAACTGCCTAAGGTCGGTCACACACGACCTTTTTATGGTTAATTTTTGTGTTAGCTCTGTAATTTTTGGGACCTTACCGCCGGAGACGGATATCCGTGGGATAAGGCGAGGTGTGTATTTTTAGTGTCGACCTTTTCTTACCCCACCCCTCCTTGTGGGAAGGCAGCATCGCTGTCATGCTGGTTGTCTGAAGGAAACACCTTACTGGTGTCACACCTCTGTACAGTCAGCAGTACGACTTCGCCTTCGGACCTTGGGTTTGTTGCTTTTAGTCTTACCGCTCTTCAACCGACCTGTCTGACATGGTAGGACCTTGAGGAATAGTTGTTCCAGCCAATATAGCTCGGTTGGGTCATCACGATAGGCAAGCCCGATCACCACGTCAAGGTAGCAGCAACGGTCGGGTCGTTAATCTTTGAGATTAAAATCGCTTCATATCTTTCTTTCTACGTACTGAATCTTACTTCCTGTCCTGTATCCTTATATGCCATCTTTCTTTTATGTATTACCACCATTGAATTAACTACTATAAATTCAGTGTTCATCTTGTTATGCTAATGAGATATGGCAACTTGGACCGATGCATATATGTGCCTGGTCCTACATTGTAGTTGACTGGCTAACCGTTTTACTCTTACAAAGGTTGTCTATAAGCTATAAATTTTTAAATTAGTAGTTTTTACATTATGTGATAAATAATATGTTACTTTATAGATGGTTTACTAGATCATATACTAAGTAACTTATGTTTTCGTAATTGTAGGCATATATTTATTCTACTCCATAAATGATTGTATTTTAGCAGACTTATGTTTCCCAAATGAGAGCTCATGCTGTAAATCACTTTTAACGCAACTGTTATATGGTATATTTTTCTTTATTACGAGAATATTAATCCCAGGCCTGCACATATTTGTAAATGCAAACAAGTGGTCCCTTCAAATCATTACCTGGTATTGATCCAGACTACCAGGTCGAGGTCCACACGATTGTCGTAACCAATTGTTGGAGCTTTGAGTGCTATGGGTTAGAGTCATTCGTAATAGCGTATGATCATCCACACTTGTTCTCTGGAACCTTTCTGTGGGCTGACGTGTCACTACTTAGACTGATTCACACATGTTCCATCTTCTGCGTTGCTTATGACTAACTGACTGACCTACATGATACATTGTATGATGAAATGTAATCAGGTTTACAGTTTAATATCGAAAATTTACAGTTCTTTGTACTGGTAAAAGAAAACTCCTGGTGTAATTATAATAATTAGAAGATTGCTAGTTTCTTACTTAATTAAGAATGGCCACTTATGATATTACTTAATTTGTTTAGTACACTTATTTTATCTTGTAAAGAAATCACAAACAATTATTTATATGTTTCTGTACGAACATGAACTAGCAGAGTAGAAATTTTCTGAAATTTGCTCTCACGTAAATGTGAAACTCATCTACAAGTAATTGATTATTGTTATATGCAGTGGTATTACTTATTATTTGTAAATAAAAGGAAATGTGTGGTTGAGACTTAAAGACAACATTATAGTGAACTAATGCCATGTCTTGGTTTTAGCGCCCTTAGTTTTCTTCCAAACTATTTCTGCGCTACCAAACATCTTGTCGATGTATTTGGTATGCATAGCACAGGTCGTTACCACCTCAATTAATGAGGATTTACGATGTTGTCGACCAGTTTGTCTATCTTTACCGAGTACCATCTGCAATATGGCTCACTCAGTCGTCCTACTAAACCTGAGCAATACTTGGAAGACACCTATGACCAAAGAACTTCAGCATACGCATATGTTCTACTTCCAAGGACCATGCTACGCAATCATAAAGTATAACAGAGCGAGCTGCTGTACAGTACACACTTTCTTTGGTTGATAGACGAACATCTTGTGCACCCCTCAAGCGAAGCAAGTTGGCAAACACTAGCCGATCTTTCTGAATCGATGTCGAGATTTCGTCAGGCATAACCCATCAGGGCTGATGACACCCAGAATAAGGAAAGTGGTCAATAAAGCCAACCACTTCACTCCATAACATCACTTCGAGCATTGATGCAGATCAGTCTTGAGGTGACATTTTGTGTTTAGAGAGCTAGAAGCACTCCGAACATCCTTGCATTACCGCTCAAGGGGGTCAGGAGACTGCATTTTGTCAGCATCTGCGTTAATTGTAGTTTAGCTACTTTTGGTAAGAAAAATTATTCTTCCTCATGTGTAACAGGCTTAATCATGCCCAAAAATCAAGTTTTTCACGAAGCATGAGAAGTTGACTAGTATGCATCCAATTCCATTTTTGTTTCTTTTCTGTAACTATGGTAACTATTATGTTTAGCTTATTTTCCTGATATTATGATTAATCGGTTGGTAGGTTATTTCTCGTCTGTGCATTTATAAGCCATGTGTGTATTTGTTGTTGATTCCTCCATTTATGATAATTTAAGTGAATGAGAAATCTTATCGTCTTTTTAAGGTAATGGGGAAACGAAAGAGTCACATTTTCTTCCCAATCAATTTTTATCATACGGTTTGGGCATAAATCCAGCTGGAACTAATAATTTGAATGGATCATTGCAATTCATTGTGAGTAAATTATGCATTGTAAGCTTTTCTTTTTACCATAGTTTTAATTTTTAAAAGGGATCCAGTTAATATGTTTCATGTATGTTATGTTCTCAAGTACGTTTATGGTTTAGTTTAGTATTGATAATTTTAAATTAAGCTATTCGTCTATTTTTATACTAAGGATAACTGAAAATGTAACCGAGTATAGTTGCTTGCATTGTTGATCTTCCTGGTACTTAGGTTTAAATTTAGTCAAAACTCCGAACATGAAAAATACATCAAATATTGTTTTAGATATTCTAGTGTAGTAGAGTGTACTGTTCGTCCTAAAAACTTATAACTAATCCTTCGAAATTTTGAGCAGTCATTTAGTACATGTTTAAAAGTAAAGTTCATAAGGTTAAGCATTTTTAAAAGATATGCTCTTGTTGACAGTGTGCCGTACCAGTAAAATATTGAGTTGGTAACTCCTCATTTAAATTGCTTTATATCTTGTACAAACTTTCAATTAATGAGGTGTGAAAGTTATCTTTCGGTATCAGCTTGTGGTAAACTTCAAACAGACAGGCATCATCAGTATATTTCCTGGCATAAATGTGCGTTAGCACAAGTTGCCTTGAAAGATTAGTAAAACCAATGAAAATAGCAAAATAGATCGAAAAAGGTATAATGGTAATGGTAGTAGTGATAAAAGGAAAACTGAACCTTGTGAATATGGCTTGAGAAGACAGAGTGAAAGAGTATGTATTTAGGAATCCTGGAATCCAAGATTGATAAGAAGAAAAGATTTGCATCTTTGTGAATGATTCTGAACTTTATCACCCAGTATCTCTAACAATTATTTATTATCTCTAGGACCCCAACCAAGTTTGTATCTACCAACATATAATCTGTCAGTGACTTCATGAACTAATGTCACGTTTTGGTTTGATCCTTAAACTTCATATATCCGTAATTGATTTCATGTATGTCGTTCAGCCTTGTACAACAATGATAACTCATTTTAAAAATAACAATTTAATATAATGCTACTCAGCTGCTAAGTTTGTGATCATATATTCGGAATTAAACCCCAATTTTGTGTCCTACTACTCGATCGATGATCGATGATTCAAACTTGCAACATGAATTGTTGAATGCCTACCATTTTAATCACTAAGCAACTAAATGTTGTTCATAACAACACAGTTCATGTTCTGAGATTTCCCCATGTAACACATTTGACTTGTGGCTTTTCATATTGTAATTAATTGTTTTTTTCTTACTGTTTTGAATTTTCAAGCCTCCGTCACCTAATTTCGCTGTCTGGCCTGAAAATAATACCTCCGCATGCTCATCTATTGCAACACAACCGAATCAGAACATTGTTCGTCCGAATCAGTCGTTTGCTTTCAGTAATACTTTAAACTCCAACCCTAATAATCCATGCACGAACACATTATCTCAGTTATGGAATATGAATATGAATCAAACATTACCAAATCAAACGTTTGGGAATTTCGTTTCTCACTCAGCAAATAACAACGTGGCACCAAACAATGAAATGTATTTATCTCAGGTAACGTATGATGTGTTTATGTTTTTTTTTAAATGTTAGAACACATTCAGTATAGTTTTCATCATAAACTGAAATCAACTGGAAAGCCATGAAAAAATAATATGAAGTAGAAATCTATTTTATCGTAGTTCAGATCTCATCAACCACGCGAACTGGCGAGTTCACTAAGGATCGAACTCATTGCCTTTAGGTTTTAATAACAGCTGTAGACCACTGAATCGAAGCCCAGTAATCACATTTCCAACTTCAATTATTTTACGATACAGATATTGTTCTTATCGGGATTCCTTAAAATCTTTCGTCGTATTCCTCATTGGTGTACATTAACAACAAGTTACAAAGTATAACGACATTGCCGTATAGTGCTTTGCCGTCCTCGTCAATGGTCAACCAGATAAATTCAGTTAGTGGCAAAAGCAAGGCTTTTAAGTTTTATACATACCATTGAAGTGTTGTATTTTTCTTAGCCATGCGTATTTTTTTTCACAAAAGTTTAAATTGTCTATTTATTTTACCTCAATGCACTTAAATTAAAATTTCTCAATATTGTTGGTAGTTTCAAAACTTTGTAGTCGACTTTTGATTCATTACATAATATGTGACCTCCCACTTATTAATATTTGCCACTTTTTGGGGCTATACAAAGATCATACAGGGTCACTGATTCCCTCCCTAACTTTGTCTCTCTTCATATGTTAATAGGTTTCGTTTTTAGCGTAAATTCCTAACGCTCGATTGCTACGCTAACTTTGCTAAATAAAATCCGATTTCTACCAATCTTAAAAGTTCATTGACAATACATGATATATTTATTCGTCTCAATTTCAGGTTAAAAGTCAGTTAACTTCATTATATCTTGGCAAAAGTCCACTGAATCCATAACCTTTGTCAACTAACTGTTCTATAGTTTGGATGAATTTAACTGTCATCAAACGTGCATATCTTATAGAAAATACAAACAAATTATCATGTCACCTTATACATTTCGTTGTTCCCATAGATCAACTGTGATATATTTAAAAATGAATAATCAAATGTTTGACATTATAATTCATGTTAAATTTTCTACCATATAAATTCAAATCTTTTATTTTATCGGGACAGCATTTTAATCCCAGTAGTCCGTTTTAAATGTATGTAAAAAATGTTTGTATTTGTAGCGTCTTTTCTCTTCACTTACCCACAATCTCACAAATATTGTTTTTCTATTACACTGATACGAATCAATTGTCGTTGATATAGTTTTTTTTCTTGTTTTGCCTAAATAATGATTCACATTGGTATATATATATATATATATATATATATATATATATATATATATATATATATATATATATGATCTTTTGACCTTGATTTCCTCGTAACCAATATAAACAAGTTAATGATTTGGCAGATATTTCTTTCATCTATCTTGTTCTTACTACACACTCTTTTTCTGTTCACTTTAATGACAAGCAATAGGTTTTTGTTGTAATGACCCATTTATAGGTAAAGTTTAATCTATTCTCTTTATTTCCTTACACAATGTTTTAATTAATTACTATTTGTCGATTGGACTATTTTAAATAAGTTTTTGTTTTGAAAAAAACTTCTTAAAAATATTTTCTTTTATCATATAAAGTTTTTGTTTATTCCGCTGTTTCAAAAGAATGAATATGAAAACGATGGAAATTTAAATAATCTCGTGCACAGAATATGAAATAGTTGATAAATCACAATAAACGATTCACTTTCATTCACAGGAAATACCTGCATCCTCTTACGCTTGAGATTGGTCAAAACTAAAGAAAAAGTGTTAGTATTTTATACTAATATTCGTCAGCCAGTCAGCTACAACGTAGGACCAGGTACATATATCCATCGGTCCAAGTTGCCATACCTCATTAACACAACAAGGTGGACACCGGATTCATAAAAGTAGTTAATTCAGGGGTGGTAATATATAAAATAAAGATTGCAATAAGGATATAGTAAAGGAAGAAAGAATGAGTTCGTAGAAAGAAATATATGGAGCAATTTTAATCTCTTAGTTTAAGGGAAGATAGAGAGTGTATACACTCACCGACGCCATTGTGATCGATTCTGAGCCATGTCACCAAGAGTCTCCAACCATCGGTTACGATAGTCAAGATTAGAACGAATAGTTTGACAAAAATCGGGCGCCGAGTACACAGAAGTCATTATATGTGTGAAAATTATATTTGAAATAATCCCAGCAATTAAAATTTAAATAGTTCCAACGTTTCGTCCAGCAAACTTGTCTGGACTTCTTCAGGGTAATAATCAAAATCATTAAAGAAATGTAAATAGTGCTTACTAATTAAATCAAATCTATACTGTGCTAATCCAATCATAATTGGATGTTGACCTTAGTCAATAGAATGAGTTAGTTAAATGAAAATCATGTGAAAAGTTCATGTATTGTGAACTTAAAGTGTTAGTAATATAATCAAAATTCTTAAGATATTGGTTTTCGGCTATTCAATTGGTATTCATTTCAGGCATGTAAATGGAGTACAATGTCTAAGTTATGCGTAAATAATTTTAGCAGACGCATTGTTCCACGTGTTGTAAAACTTGGAATAGCGTTCACTTGTCTGGATAGAATATTTTTAGGTATTGATACTAATAACAATTGGTTATTTTGTTGTTAACGAATATAGCAAATCTTTGATTCCATTGTTTACTATAAAACAATATACACTGAAAGCACTCCAAAAAGGATCTTTGGTCTATTATATTTGAGTAAATTGACACTATGGATCATTGTCGAGCTATCCGTTGAATGGAAATTGCCACATCAACCTCCTCGATCATGACAAAGCGTATGGCAGTGTGGATAGAAGAATATTACGGAACCTTCTTCGACACTATGGTGTACCTAAGAAGATCATCAACATCATACGGAATTTATACGATGGACTACACTGCAAAGACGTGCATGGAGGACAGCCTACAGATGAATTCCAAATGAAGAGCGGTGTCAGAAAGGCTGCCAACTTTCATCTTTTCTCTTCTGACTGTTGACGGAATTATTAGGACATTTGTATATCAGAAGAAGCACGGAATACAATGGACTGCTTGGACACAACTAGACAATATGGACTTTGCAGACGCTCTGGCCCTTCTATCTCATATACAGCGACAAATGCAGGTGTCGACAGCCAGTGTATCAGCAGCCTCTGCGTTAATAGGCCTCAACGCACACGAGCGAGAAAGTAAGATCGTGAAATACAACACAGCACCAACCCAATCACACTTGATAGAGAAGCTCTGCAAGGGATTTAAAGTTTTATGTACCTGGGCAGCATCCCTACATTTGAAGAATATATAAGACTAAAAACAACTGTTGGCCGACATCAAAGTCAGTACCTACAATATCGACGTCAACACAGTTTTATTGTACGGGGCTGAAACGTGGAGAACTACTTACTTACTTACGCCTGTTACTCCTCGTGAAGGAGCATAGGCCGCTCACCAGCATTCTCCATCCAACCCTCTCCTGGGCAATCCTTTCTAGCTCCTTCCAGTTGTAATTCATTGTTTTCATATCTGCTTCTATTATCCGACGCAATGTGTTCTTTGGCCTTCCTCTTTTTCGCTTCCCTTCAGGATTCCAAGTTAGGGCTTGCCTCGTGATGCAGTTTGACGATTTGCGTAATGTATGTCCTATCCATTTCCATCGTCTTTTCCTAATTTCTTCTTCAGCTGGAAGTTGGTTTGTTCTCTCCCACAGAAGGCTATTGCTGATAGTATCCGGTCAATGGATGTTGAGTGTCTTGCGTAGGCAGCTATTTATAAATACTTGTACTTTCTTGATTGTGGTTGTTGTAGTTCTCCAAGTTTCAGCTCCGTACAGTAGAACTGCCTTGACGTTCGTATTGAATATTCTCACTTTGATATTGGTTGAAAGTTGTTTTGAGTTTCATGTGTTCTTCAATTGTAGGAATGCGACCCTTGCTTTGCCGATCCTCGCCCTTACGTCTGCATCTGAACCTCCTTGTTCATCGATGATGCTTCTTAGGTATGTGAAGGACTCTACATCTTCCAGAGTTTCGCCATCAAGAGTGATTGGATTGCTGTCTTCATCTGCATCTGTTCGTGTGTACGTGATAGGAGGGCTAGGTCATCTGCGAAGTCCAAATCGTCTAATTGATTCTGAGCTGTCTAATGTATTCCGTGTTTTCCTTCAGATGTAGAGGTCTTCATAATCCAGTCGACCACCAGAAGAAAGAGGAAGGGAGAGAGTAAACAGCCTTGTCTGACTCCAGTCCTTACTTGGAAGGCATCTGTCAGCTGTCCTCCATGCACTACTTTGCACTGTAGTCCGTCGTATGAGTTCCGGATAATGTTGACAATCTTCTCAGGAACTCCGTAGTGTCGAAGAAGTTTCCATAATGTCCTCCTATCTACACTGTCGAATGCCTTTTCATAATCAATGAATTTGATGTATAGTGATGAGTTCCACTCAACTGATTGTTCGACGATGATCCGTAGTGTTGCAATTTGGTCTGCGCACGATCGATCCTTACGGAATCCAGCTTGTTGATCTCGAAGTTGGGCGTCTACTGCATCCTTCATCCGGTTCAGCAACACTCTGTTGAAGACTTTCCCTGGTATTGACAGTAGTGTAATGCCTCTGTAGTTTTCACATTTGCTCAGATCTCCTTTCTTTGGAATCTTGACGAGGTGTCCTTCTTTCCAGTCCATTGGCACTTGTTCCTCCTCCCAAATCTTTTTGAATAGAAGGTATAGCATGCTTGTGGTTGCTTCGATGTCTGATTTCAGTGCTTCAGCTGGTATGTTGTCGGGTCCTGCTGCTTTCCCGTTCTTGATTTGTCTGACGGCCATTCTAATTTCTTCCGTCGTTGGTGGGTTGACATCTATAGGAAGATCTATGTGTGCTGCTTCGATGTCCGGTGGATTCATTGGAGCCGGCCTATTCAGGAGTTCCTCGAAGTATTCTACCCATCTGTTACGCTGTTGTTGAATTTCGGTGATTGGCTTGCCTTCTTTGTCTTTGACCGGCCTCTCTGGTTTACTGTATTTCCCTGCTAGTTTCTTCGTTGTATCGTGAAGCTGTTTCATATTTCCTTCTCTAGCAGCTTTTTCTGCCGTCGTTGCTAGTTCTTCCACGTATTTCTTCTTGTCGGCTCTAATGCTCCTCTTCACTTGTTTGTTTGCTTCTATGTATTCAGCTTGTGCTTGGACTTTCTCTGCTCGTGTTCGGCTGTTGTTAATTGCTGCCTTCTTGTTCTTCCTTTCTTTGATCTTGTCCAGTGTTTCTATAGAGATCCATTCCTTATGATGGTGTTTCTTTAGGCCCAGAACCTCTTGACACGTTGAAGTTAATGCTTCCTTGATGCCTTTCCAGTTGTCCTCCATAGTAGTTTCTTCTTCTTTCAGTAGATCTTGTAAGGCTTGGAACCTGTTGTTGAGAGCTATCTTGAATTCATTGAGTTTGTCAGTATCTCGAAGGAAGGCTGTATTGAACCTTTGTAGTGCTGTTTGTCCACTTGTCCAGTTCTTTTTTAGCTTCAGTTTTAAATTGGCTACAACTAGGTGGTGATCTGAAGCTACGTCAGCACCTCTCCTGGTTCTCACATCTTCCATTGTCCTTCGGAATTTTTTGTTGATGCAAATATGATCGGTTTGGTTCTCTGTAGTGTGGTCCGGTGAGATCCATGTAGCCTTGTGTATACGCTTGTGTGGAAATATTGTGCCTCCTATGACCAATTTGTTGAATGCACAGATTTGCAAATCTTTCTCCATTTTCGTTTCTTTCTCCCAGTCCATGTCGTCCCATAATATCTTCATATCCAGTGTTGTCTATTCCGACTTTGGCATTTAGATCTCCCATCAGAATAGTTAGGTCCTTT